GGGGGGGGGGGGGGAGGAGAGGGGGGCATGGGCATAATAGGCATGGCGTGTGGACGGGCACTACCCAGCCCAGTCCCAAAAGCGCGGTCTCCAGTCTTCTGAAGGCGCGGTATTGGGGGGGGGACGGGGGGAAGGGACCCCTTGGCTTGGAAAGGGAAAGACTCGGAGAAGCAGCCGGACGATGCGTGCCAGAACCATGTAAACATCTGCCGGGGAGCAGGAGGGGAGGGAAACTATCAATGGAAAAAAAGTGGAGATGGAAATGGTTATGGGCATGGATATGGATTTGGCCATGGCCATGGAGTCTTGAGAGCAAATGAATGAATTATACTATACTCGAGTAAGTGGAGGTGCAGGCGCAGACGCTGGCGCAGGTAGCTTGGGGAAGACGTTGAGTTGAGCGTGTACCAGTACCTACCGTAGGACTGCCTAAGTCGAGACCTTGTGCAGAGCTGAAAGTATAGGATGTTCCTGGGGGCCACACTCTGCTCACCTCGTCAAGCTCATGATCGTCCGAGGCCACGCTACTACGGAGAAAGGCTTTAGTCAGCAAGTGCAAATGCAGGTGCAAGTGCAGGTGCAAGTGCAGGTGCAAAATGCAAATGCCGTCGACTCCGTACTACTTGGTATCTCCGCAATTCCTTTGCCACGAGGAAGGAACCTGGCTATACAGCCTGTACTCGAGTACCCGCACCGTAGTATAACAGGAAAGAGCGTCGCACCCTTACACGCAAGACGCTGCTCACACACTCGCTCGACTCTCTTCACGCAGCCTCGTACTCGACTCCGTCCTTCTGCTCCGTACGAGTACCAGTTCACCGTACTAATCCTCTTCCAGTAGTAGCAGATGCAGCCGCAGTCGTAGCCGCAGCGTGTACGGAGTACAGGCACCGCTCCGAGATCAGTGAGGGAGCGTCCCAGCAAGGACAATCCCGGGAAAGGGGAACTGCGATCGAGGGGTCCAAGCAGACATCGCCATTCCTGGTTCGACGGCCAACGGAAAGGTGGCCATTTTGCCCGCGAAGGATGCGATGCAGACTCATGAACGGGGATGGTCGGTAGTTGATACTACAGCTACTCTTCTGAGAATTGAGCGAGCGGTCGGAGCGACAGAGTACGGTCAATACCCGCAGTGTATATCAAAATATATCCAAAGACACAAGCACCACAATCTGTGACGTTGACGTTGATCCTGATACCTAGCCGCCTCTACCGGTAGAGGTACTCAGGGGGGACTCACTGGTGTTCCGTCTCACCCGGAATCGGCAATACATTCTACGCCCGCCGGATGAACCGATTGACTTTCCGAATGCTCATGTTGACTCCAATATAATTGACATCTACCGTACTCGTAAAGTCTAACCACCCCTCATCAATATGATTTATATGTACGGGAGTACCGTACTCATACCTCATCACCAACAACTACGAAGTATCTCCTGGCCCTGGCGGCAAACTGTAGTTCGTCTGTCAGACAGCTGCCTCTTGGCTTCTGGGTACAACCTGCTGCACCAATGCACCATGGAACCCACCGTTCAACAACATCGACCCGTCCTGCTCGCACAGTGCAGTGCAGTGCCATGCGTTCCCTTTGGCGTAACTCGACATGATGGCTTCAGGGGACCTCCAGGGGATCAACTTTCCAGCTTCCCCGCCCGCAGCCTCTCAATCCTTTGAATGCTTGCTTATTACCATCCCAAGCCATCGAAGCACCCAAGAAGCATCCATCACCACAGAAGAACTTTCCACCAGTCATTGCTGTGAAGAGAATAAATAACAACGAAAAGCCTCACTCACTCGAATACGTCCATCTACATGTCACCCTGTTCATCATGGTCCCCTCATCCATGACCTCGGCCCAACCTCGTTGTGAAGCCCCTCACGATCCCCACCCGTTGTATACCAAGTACCTCTTGTATAGAACCTTGAACGGAGTTGTTGAATCCAAAAGCAGAAGTATACAGAAAGCCGCGAATCAATATATACCCCCCAAGAAAAGCCGCACTCTGAATGACCGCAACCAGTAGATATCGCAATCTACTCGTACCCACCCAGAAGGATCGTGGACAGGTCATCATGATCCACGTCCGCGCAATCGTATCCAAGATCTGCCATCCATCCAACCACCCGTCACTCTTACCCTCCTCCGCACCCAATACCACCCATCCCCTAAAATAAGGCTACCTAACCGTGCCACAACCCAACTTGGAGAGCTTTCTGACCATTCATCCAATTCGGACGTCACACAACCGGAGAACCCCTACTCGTTCGGCCGTTACATTGCAGCGCCGATCCAACAGTAACACTTTCGGAGGTGTAGAAAACGAGGACCCTTTAGAGTAGGAGTCTACGAATTAGTAATTCGAACATCCGCGTATCCGGAACGTCCTTTTCCCTTTTCCTTTACCTTTGCCGTTAAGAAGTATCCCGTCAAAGCTACCGTATGCAAGGACGAATTGTCATCATCGCATCACTTCCAAATCCTTGCGAGATCTGAAATGTATATCTCACTACTTATTGCTCCCACCGAGTCCTGTAATTAACCTCTAACTCGGTAAGGAGCGGTAGTTCCCGTGCGTCCAATTAGCAGAACGGTGAACCAGGTACAGTACCATTCCGTAAACGGTCATCTTTGTAATCCTCACGTCAAGAACGTCTCAACCCTTCCTCTCCAAAAAGACTACTTACTGTATATACCGTAAGAAAGTTGAAATACACCATCCATACACCACAAACACCCCAACCATCCTCCACCACTCGCACCACCCAAATTCCCTTGCTCACTCGCTCGGTGCGAAAAACACATCCCCGGAGAAATAATCAAGAATACAACATACATACCAGTACATACGGAGTACTTACTACAAAGCGATTCATCAGATGAAGTCAGGTATTATTGCCTTGCCTTGCCTTTCCCGCAAAAACACGAACACGAACACGTACGTACGTATAGTGTTATATGTACTGTATCTATATGGAAACGGAAATCATCGAATGTGAACCCGACCCCCCGTCTCTGTCTCTCTCAGGACCTTTATGTATATTGATATGCGATGATGTGTGATAACATATGCAAAAGCGCAGGGCAGAAAAAGAATCAGAAGAAAACAAAAAGAGAAAAGAGAAATGTCCACAAAACACACTTCCTTGTTCCGTAAACTACAGTAAGTTACAATAAACCAAACCAAACCAAACCAATAAACCACCTCACTCACACAATACAACACGAACAAAATTCGCCACGCCACTCTACGATGTCTCAACCTCCCATCATCAGATGAAAAGAAAAAAGTATCTAACCGACATCTAACCGAGGAAGCGTCGGCATCCAAAGAAACAAATCTGACGCAACGACTCCTTCGGAATCTCAGTATACTCCTTGTTCCGTTCCGTTCTTTCGCGGTTTAGTTTGACAATGACACTTGGATCTTTACAGTACTGTATGTCTAACTACTGTAAGGCAAGAAGACTTTTTTCAAGTAGGTAAGAGGAGAGGAGTGTAGTTCGCTTCGTGAGGAAGGAGTGTGGTGGATTTCATGTCGTTTACTGTACTGTAGATTATGGGCAGGCGAATCAAGCGAAGCAATTTGACTTACAGTACTCTCACTCCCCATTCCCATCCCGATTCCCCATTCAACCTCGAAGAAACCTGAGGATAGGGAACCCTCCCATTCCATCCCCTCCCCCTCTCCACCCTCCAAGTCAAGACTCAAAAAAGAAATATATAAATATCACAAGCAAAAGTCCAGTAACTACAACCAGTAAAATAATAAAAAAAAGCGAACCTCTCATCTATATTCTCCCATCTATATCCATACGGAGTACATCGTAATCGCAAATTTTCCTTCTTGTGCACACCGCACATGTACACACTGCATACCCCATCTGACGATACGGTGGTCCCTGTATCTTATCGCATCTACTGTACCTGTTCCTGTTGCTGTACTGTTCTGCATCCCCATCAACATGTACCCATCGAGAGAGAGAGAGAGCAAGAGGGGGAGAGGGGGAAAAAAAGCCACAAGTAGAAGAAGAAGATGGCGAGAAGGGAAAATAGTCCCTAGCACACATAGCAAAAAAGAAGCCCCGCTGACGAAAAATCCTTTCAAAGATTTACCCCTCCTTCGTCTGATAGTAGTAATAATAGCGAGAGAGCGAGAGAGAGAAAACAAGATCTCCCTTCCCAGCAAAAAAAACCCCCCCGCCTTCATCCCCTTGCCATCCCATATTCTACAAAAAAAAGAATTGCTCTCGAATCTGCCCTACCACAAATTTCCCACTGGCTCGCTCACTCACTCCCTTCCCCGCTTTCCCCAGCTGACTCTCCCCTCCAGTTCATCTGGGGAACTCTCGTCCACTTCCCCGAACACACGCGCAGAAGCAAAGAAAAGCTTGCGCCATCCAGGGTTTCTCCAATGCAACCCACACTTCATACCACCACCCCATCTCGTCAGAATTGACAGCTCACTTCATCTCACTCACGACCCCTCAAACATCCCTGCCACACCCTCAAGACTTGGACTGGGTCTTCGACCACCGCCAGGAGCCTCAGTCTTGGGTTGCTCCTTCATGAACTCCTGCTGCATCTTACTTCTCTCCCGTCGAGAAGTTCCAGGCCCCTTGGTGATACGTCCCTGTTCGGAGATACTGACACCCTTCAAATCTTTCAGGAGTTCGAGAACAAGGACTCGTTGCTGTCGTTGCTGCGTACCCGCTCGCGTGATGTATTCGATGCACTTATCCACTGCTTTCTCCTGGATGCCCGGGAGAGACAGAAGGATTTGACGTGGTGTGTTGGTTAGAGGGGAGTAGACTATTAGTATACAAGCTATTAGTTGGGCAATCTCCTTGTGAAGGTCGATAAAGTAGGGCTCGTTCAAGGAGGAGATGCAGGCTTTGAGGACATCGGTACTGATAAATTCTCGGATAGAGGAATTGGGAGGTGAGTCTTGGGGAGAAGCAAATTCGGGAATGATGGAGCGATAGACACGGAGCACAACACCGCAGCACCGGGTATCGCGCATTCGAACCGCGTGAGCAAGGAATGTGAGGAGTGGTTCGAGAATTGTAGAGTTTGTGAGACAGAATTGTCGCATGATAGGATATGATGCGGATACTGGGTTACCGTCCGCAGTTGTTGCTGCAGCCGCTGGGGGATCTACAAACTGTCAACTAGTAGATCTTCGAGGCGAAAATGGGTATACTTACTTGCTTTTGCTGGGTCCAGGAAACCCCCAATCATCATCACCGCGCTATTGGTTAATTGACGCAAAATGCTTGCCTCTTTCATTTCCTCAGTTAAATTATCTTCTCCAGAACGAGCGACTTCCTTGTGGGTCTGTTTTTCCCATTCGGAGCTGATCTTTCCATCCATCTGTGTAAAGCAGGTTGCTAAAATAGGTGGAATGAAGTGGCCTCGGACTTCCACTGGACAATCATCAACCATGTATCGGACCACGTTTAGTAATGCGATGAGCTGGTGTGATGACAGACAGTGAGCATCAGAAAAGAGAGCATGTGCCAATGGCCCAGGAAGCTCGCTGAAGCCGTAAAAGTCAACATCCAGTCTACTCATACACCAGAGTATAGAGTAGCAGGCCTCTCTAACTGTGCGGATGGAACCTCGAATTGAGGATGCAAATCCTTCCATTGTAGACTTTGTGCCAGAAACACGGGCATAAAAGTCTTCCTTTGTTCCTTCTGATATACCAGCTTGCCAAAATCTATCGGTGAGGATACGACTAACAAGTGGTCGCAACTCTGTTGGTAATTCGGTCCAGTTTGCTGGATTATGAAAAGCGTGCGCATGGCTAATTGAAAATTAGGTATATGGTTTCTTAAGCACAGTGATATGTACGGACCTCATGAATTTCAGTAAATTAGGGAGAATTGTTGGTAGAGAATCCCGCCATAAGGCACGGGAAACTTTGTAGGCAGGAGTGTCTCGTTCAATCTTTTCAGTCGAGCATGCCAAGAAGTTTTTCGTGGTTCGAAGAGGAAGAGCCTAATCAAAAAAAAGTTAAAGGAATGCAACGATTACAGAGACCTGGTGCCATCATACCTTTAGTCGCTCTTCTAACTCCGCTTGTATGGCTTGACCCTCTGGATCGAGCTTATATTGGGACCAGTCTTGGATTTCGTTTATCCGTCGACTCACAAGGTATTGCCGAACTTTGTTCAGACCCATCATTTCACAGAAGCCGTCCAAGTTAGTAATAGAAGCATCCATTTCAGGGTTCTGCCAGAGTTGTTGCACAGGGCCAATGAATGCCTGAAGCTTTTGAAATCGGATATCTGGATCGATATTTTTTGCCCGGTGACTAGGATTCTGTTAGTGCCAGTGGATATGGAGTGCGGGAAGGTGATCTTACATGATTGTGAAGAGAAATGTTTGGTATGAAACTTGTCTTTTAGGGTCAAGTCTATCAGATGCAATGATCTCTGAAACCTTGGCTTCCAGTTGATCGTAGACATCCTGTCAAGATTAGAATTTGCAAGTTGAGAAAGGGCCTATTATGAGCTCACAAGAAGTTGGTCTGGCATCTTTGTCGCCAACCTCTGCAATTCATAAGTGCCATCAACCTGGAGTTCCTTGACAGCATCCGAATATGCAGTAAATTGTGGCTTCTCAATTGGCTGACTCATGAGTATGTTCTCCAATACTTTGAGCATAAAGCCAACTTTCTTGTCCAAGGCACTTGTTGAGAAAGCAACAGCAAGCTGAAGAACCCGTTTCCGAATGAGAGGATCCTTCATAATTAATTAGCGCGGCCTCTGTATTTGAAGCTGTTCATAGTTACTTCGAAATTGAGCTCTATCAGACGCTCACACCAAGATTCAAGGTTATTCTCAATGCTCACTCGCTCATGGTCCTGGTTTAAATTAGTACAAGCCGTGAATTTGGAGTAGCAGCAGCCTACATCAGCTTGGGGATTGGATCCATGAGTTGCGCGCCATTTCATGTATCCTTTCAGTGCTGCCTCTACAACAGTGAAATGTGCGTCTACGCGCAATACTGCCATGGAGGTCTTGGAGTAAGTCTCGGCTAATTTTCAGGTCAGCCAAGAGTCAGGGTTCATGATTAGAGGGAATAACGAACCAGAAAACGCAGGTTGTCCAACGTAGAGATTTTGTAATGAGTGATCAATTTGACTGAGAATGTGGTAAATGGCTTCCGATTGCTTTTGACGCACGATCAACTCAATGATAACAGAGCTGTACCTTCTGTAATTCCCCAAAAAGGCGTGTCTTTCTGGTATAGTATCGATGTCCTCTAATAGTAGAATCAGAGACGGATCATCAGTATCCTCATTCATATTATCATAACGAATTAATCTTGAGCTACAAAGTTCAAGAAGAGGTGCAATTAGTGGGGTCATAGTAGGAGAGCCGCCAATGGTCTCAGAACGTAGCAATCGTGTCCATGTAACAAGAACGGGTATCGAAACCACAAAACTAGGGCTTTGAGTAATGACAAGAAAAAGATTTAATAAATTAGGGAGATCGCAAGCCTCTGGTATAGCCGATATCTTTTGTTCAATAAAGCCGCCGAGATTTGAAACCATCTAACAAGGTTGGTCAAATCGATTCTTTTTTTTCAAAGATGAGGGAATACAAACCTCAGAGAATTTCTTAGCAAATAAATACTTTTCGTCATCCACATTGCGAGGATCAACAATAGACCATTCGTGTAGCTTGCGTAACAAATCGACCATTTGACTCTCATACATTGGACAAACCAATGCGAGAAACTCTTCGTCTGTAAATTGCACTCTACTATACAGAGCATGAAGCGCCTCTACAGATCCCTAAAATAATGAGTTATGGATTTAGAGGGGTGCGGGACAACATACCAATTGTACGGCGACACTTGGTGCAGCAAGACTTTTGCACATATGGCGTACACAAGAAGCACTGGAGATTGCCCGTGGAATAGCCCATGGCATTACAGATTTGTATACTGCCAAAGTTTTTGCAGCGCAACTTTGATATTGTGAATTGCTCAGAAGGTCGGCATCTAAACATTGATTAAGCAAATCGCCCAGTCGTACCAACCAGCCTTCTTCGCCACATCTCACGTTGCCATTCTGTCGATTTGGAAAGGCTTCTGCTAAAGCAACCGCGGGGGTAAAGATTTCCACGCATGCCTTACTCAAAGCTCCGTCTCGCAAGATGACCACTGCATCTTCACCGTTGAAGACCTCGTCTGATAGGGTTTCCAGGACGAACAAGACAAATTCCTTGTGCACAACTGGCCCGGGGATGTTCCAAAGCTGTACCAAAAGTTCATCCATATCCATCCATGCTGCTGCCCAACTCCTCTTTGCAATCTCTACCCATAATTGTGCTGTTTTATTTCGCAGATATAACGGATCATCTTGCGACAAGTTTTGGGAGAGTTCGAGAACCCATTGTCTCAACGTTGTCGCCTGCTGCTCTGAATATTCGTTCCACTTATGCCGAATAGCATACTCGAGAAGAGAGAGGGCAAAGTGCCGTACGATGGGCTGCTGGGTTCTATCGGAGGCAAGAGTAAAACCGTGGTATGGCGCCTCTGGGTTTGTCTTGAGATCTTCCAGAAAATTGCCAGCCTGTCTTCGAGATTCGTTTGAGGAGTAAGGCCCGTGGACTAGATTGAGAGCTTCGTGGATTTGAGGCAGCAGATTCGTACCACCGCCATTGACTTGTGTTGGAGTTGCCTCCGCTCCGATCGTGGCTTGACCATTCGCAGCGCCGTTCATGATTTCAGTACCAGGCCCTTATTGGCAGCAAGCGAGTGGTTTCGACAGATTTTGAGGGGGAGAGACCTAGAGAATACTTGATGGGAGAGTTATCCAGCTTGCGACCTGAATTCCCAGTCATGTGCGTGGGTTGCTGGTGTGGTTTCTACTTCTTCCTTCACACAGCCTGTCGGCACGCTCAAAGGTGAAGCGCAAGCAAACGATAACCAAACTCCAGCTTCCTGATCGCAGACTTAAACTGCAGCTGGCTGGGGATACAAACGAAGGAGGTCCTCTTAAATGCGGCGGTGTGAAAAGGGGAACGTAGGAATGTAAGTAAAAGTTCAAGTACCTGGGTAGAAGGCTGAAATCGCGGGCACTTTTCCCAGAACAAGGCTACCAAATTACTGCAACGATCTACACACCAAAACTATATTCACGCAGGGACGACAGCAACACTTTGTCGTCTTTTGGAACTGTAAATTATCTACAACTCAAGTGCTTTCTGCAGCTTCACATCACAAAAGTATAAGGGTGAATAAGAGTCCGTCCCTGGTGGTGAAAACTGGTCAGCTTTGTACCTATGCGTCATAGTCCATAATCCTCCGTGGTAGCCCTCCCAGTGGACAAGATAGGTGGCAGAGAATCATTTTTTTAACCATTAGCGTGAGTATATTCTAAGTACTAACATGTTTAAAATATCTGGAACAATTGGGTTTATTGTGCTATCGATTTCGATAAATCAATTTAATTATTCTAAATAAATAATACAATATAAGGGTTTTTAGTTAAGTTAGGATAAGATCAAAGAGGTCTCTGCCACTTTTCTTGTCCACCGCAAGGTAGCCTTACTTGAGGTACTGTAAGCATCATCACAACTCAATTGGGATTTGAATACCATTAAAGAACAAAAAGGCATATGTATTGCTTTCCTCGTAAAAATCCTGAATCCAACCAACACGCTCCACGCCAATAAAATGCCCAAGTTCGTCCACTCATATCTACATAACACTACATTTACCCGACGTAGTTTGCTGGCACTGGTCAAGGTAACCCTCTTCCTCCTCCTTGCCGAGGGCCATGTTCTGTTTTCTTTGTACACCCTTGACCTTGATCGAGTGTTCTCCTTCGCCGTGCCACCACCTTAGCCGCTGGATCATGCCACCATCTGCATCATCAGTACTTATTGCCCATTTCCCAGACGAAACCTCAATCTCAGATTGGTCCTTTGGAAAGTGAAATTCTGGTAGGAAAATTTCAGTTGGGTTGTCCGGACTCACTTGCCCCCCCTTCACCTTGAAGTTAAAGACTGCATTCCGAAGATCAAATCCATAGCTAATGATATCCCCAACAGTAGCAATTGGAGACGGCCGAACATATGCTTCGGCAGCCCTGAAACCAGGCGAGTTTGTTAATTCCGGCGGCTTATCTGTAGTAGCTGCTGACGATATTGAAGGCGTTCTCAATTTTGCCTCCAGATTTCCTGGATGGACCGTCGCTTCGCTTGAAAACTCCTTTTTGGTAGTTGGCCCAGCTTTCTGGTCTAAACTTGTCGCGGAACCATTGGTTGAGGTTGGAGGCACGGGAGAAAGAGGAAGTGGTCGATCATCAAGAGAAAAGATTGACAAATCTTCCCCGTTCCACTGATCACCCAGTTTGTGGTTGTTCTAAGGAATGTTAGTTCAATGTGATTTTGAGATCAAGTGAAGTCCTACCTCAGTCATATACAACCACAATGTATATCCAGCCATCGAGCTACCTTCGACAGCGAAATGATTTGCGTCCATGGCACCCGACTGACTTGAGTAATCCCCAGTTTTGTATGCATGCTTGTCGTCCATATCGTAAGGAATGCCGAACTCTGTCAATACGCATGGGTGATCGCCCATATAATCGAGGCCTTCCTGTCGGATGGCAGTCAACTGGTCTTTGAAGGAGTTTCGGATCGCCGTCTCCCCTATTTTGACTGCAAAAGCAGGGGCCAGGTACCGACCACGCAGAATGCCAAAAACGTCAACATTCCAGTATCTGTTCCATTTTTTGGTCATAAGTGTGACTCCATCATAATAATGAGGAGCATAGACCATTTTAGGGTCGTCGTCCTCTGTTCCTTTGATTGCAGGAGGTATTTCAAGCACAGGTGGCTGGCAAAACAGGATGGCATTCTTATGGACCGCCCGTATGGCATCTCTGTGTTTGCGATAATAATCCATAAAGTACGTATTGGTGAATTTTTCGTAGTCGATGGTCTCTCCGGTCTTGGGATTTTTGTGGAAATAGTCCTTCTTCAGCAGCATGTCTTTGCTTGGATCCCAGACACCATGTTGAGCCCAAATACATTCCCCCAGCTTCCATCCCAGGTCTCGCTTATAATCATACCTCGACTCATCGTAACCTTCTGGTAACCACGCTTGTTCTCCTTGAGGATCAACCAGAACACGTCCTGATTTATATGGCCCCATCCCTCCAAAATCCCATGTATCAATCTCAACGGCCCGACCAGAACCTGTCAACATAGCCTGCCATGCTGTTGGGGAGGTTCCTTTCTGGAGCTTCTGCTCGCTTGGGATAATTGACAGATCTGGCCATCCCACCAATCCACGATTAGGCTCATTCATACTTTCCCATCCAATAATAATGTTATCTTCTAAATCTTGCGCCTCGTTGATTCGTTTGGCGAGGTGGGCACAAGCACCCACGAAATGCCCTTGAAGATAATCCTGAATGTTCATTCCATCAATGATGCACTTTGGGGCAAAATCTCTTCCTGCAAAAAAGAATGTGAATATCGTTTGGCATGCTAATCGCGTGTAGTTTGTTGACCAAATCATCTTGGGAAAACTTTCCGGGTCTGGGTATGTGTTATGAACTAAAGCCGCTTCAGTTGCCGCGAAGCTCTGAGGATTGAGACCACATGCATATAACGTCCACATGGGAGCCCCAGAACCGCCTGCAAATCTCGACCACTAGACAATATCTCATCAGCATTGTACTTAAAAAGAATCACAGAACCCATACCACATCCTGATGGGGATCCATAAAGATATAAAACCCATAATCCCGTGCCAGCCTTAATATGTCGATGGTGTGCTGGATCCATTCTTCGTCGTATATGCCTGGGCCTCTCGACTCAATCGCTTCCCAGGTAAAAACATATCGAATGGTGTTGTATCCCCAACGCTTCAGCCGCGAGAAGTGCAGATGTGCATCTTCTTTGGGGAAGGGGCGCTCGTGGAAGTTGATGTTATCGCCGTCGAAGAAGTCTGTTGGGATATGCGAGGGTCGATCCGGGTCACTTGGATATTTCGCATCACCTGCTACGTTGATGCCCCTCAGGGTGACCTCTCGTCCGTGTGCATCACGGAAATGGCCCTTTTCGATGGTGAGCCTCAGTGGTGCCATATTGGTTGTTTATGTTTATCCAGGGCGTATAGCTTTCGGTGGGAAGACCGGCACACCCAACTACTCCGTACGTATCTTGGGAAGAGTGGAAGGTGTGGACTACGCTACCACCATGCAGCTAAATGTATAAATTAGAGGCGGATAGCAATGGGATGACGATGTTGGGAAATTGGACACAATCGAATGTGTTTGCCCCAGATTGTGAATGTTGAGAGCAGCAAGAAACCATCTGAACATCAGACGGAGTATGCAGTAGATGTACTGGTACTCGAGTACAGTTGTAGTTAAAGGGGTTGGGGTAAGTAAGTAAGTTTTCGTGACGTGCGCGGATTTCGTGTAGACATGGAGATGCTCGTTCCAAGGCCATGGATCCTGGGGGGACAAGGGGGCTACGGTGGAGTGATGCGTGTGGCGGTCATTGTAGTTGCATTGGCAGCCTTCCCCAAATCTCCGGACAGGGATACAGCCCACCTGAGTGAAAGCACCGATTACAGTACTGTAACCGCGGCCGCGCCTAAAATACTCCAAGTTCCCATAAGTAGGTTCATAGGTAAGTACAGGTACATAGGTACATCGCTACATAGGAAAGTGCCGCACGATCTCGATCGGCTCGAAGAAAAACATACGTTGATCGGTGCGGGTGCTGCGTTGGCTTGTCCATCGGAACCTCGCCTGTACCAGACAAACCCGTCAACGACCCCTCGCCATCCAGACATGCCAAACACCAGCACTAGCACCAGTGCAGAATCATGTCCGCAAAGGCTGCGCTGAAAGCCATTGGCGCCGCTATCAAGTCCCAGAAATACGAGGACGCAGTCAACGAGTCCGGGAAACTGCTCGCTTCCGAACCCAAAAATTATCAGGCGTGAGTGGAAATGTCACAGCTTGGTCGTTCGGCCATTGCCAGACAACGTCTGACGTATTTCTAGAACCCTTTTCCTCGGATTCGCACACAGCAAGCAGAGCAACTATGTCGAAGCGGAAAAGGCATACAATGCCGCGACGAACCTTAAAGAAGATGACCCTCAGGCCTGGCAAGGCCTCATACAGGTCTATCAACAGCAGGGCGGGGAGGCAGTAGGACGGTACCAGGTAGCGGCCGTCAAGCTGGCCGAAATCTATCAAGCGGCAGACGACAAGTACAAATGTCAAGATGTCGTGGACAAGTTCATGGGCTTTGCGAAAACACATGGGACACGTCAACAACACAAAAAGGCCCAGGAAGTGGTTGTGCCAGGGTCTCCCATCTACGACTTTCTGGAGGGTAGGGTACCACATCCCGCTCAGACATATCAGATCATGGCACAAATAACAGAGTTTGAGGAGAAGGAACGCATCAACACGCAAATTGGAGAACGCAGAACCAGGCTCGGGGCCAAAATTAGTCAAGTCACAACTGAAGTGAAACGTGAGGTGCTAAAAGACAGTGATCTAGAAGAACTTTACTCCAACATTATCAATTGGACGAATGACGATGAGATCCGACGGCAGTATGAGGAAAAGTTGATACAAAGATGCTTGGAGGCTCTAGAAGTGCTCCCAAAGGATGAAAAAGCAGAAAAGCGTGCCAAATTATTGAAGCTCTCGGCAGATATGGTCATTATCAAACATCCATATAAGCTAGCATGGGACATAACCCTCGAATGGAAGGATCCTGAGAATATTGGAGATATAGATGCAAATGTCTTATGGGAATACTACGGGTTTTTCCCCATAAGCGGTCTCGGAAAAGTCTTACGAGCGTTCATGAATTGTGAGATATCTCCATTTTCATCGCCTCCGCCATCTGCCCCTGCTGCAAAGATCGAACCCACCAGTTCCGATGAAAGTGAAGATGACGATGATCAGGGGGGAGGAGTCTCTCTTGATGACCCACTGCTAGGCGAGGATCGTTTACTTGTGATGGCTGAAGGTATGGCTGAGTCCGGAAAGTCAATCTTGGCTCATCGGTTGATGGGGGAGTACTATCAGTTTCTCGAGGAACACGAAAGTGTTGTTGAGCTGATGCGAAATGCTAAACATCTACTTAAAGAGCAGACTGAAAAGACCGGGCTACCTTTCAAAAAGTCAGTACAGGCCACGACCATCCTGCTTGCCACGGGCCTGGTTTTTTATCAATCGCCTAAAAATCACCCCGCTGCGAAGGCTTTGTTTGATGAAATCCTCGCCCAGAATCCAACATTGCCCCCAGCATTGATTGGCATTGGTCTCATTTATGAAGAAGAGGAAGACTACTCAGCTGCTATCGAGTTTCTGGGGCGTGCATTGGAGAAAGATTCGAGTAATATACGTATCAGAGCTGAAGCTGCATGGGTGAAAGCTCTGAATGGTGACTACATTGCCGGTAAGGGGGAATTGGAAAAGTGCATTCCAGAGATAAAAGGCAAAGATACTCGCTCCCGAGATCTGCTTGCTCAATGTCAATACCGTATCGGCATTTGCGTATGGAATATGGATACTTCCAGAACAGCGAGAAAAGACAGGAACGGCGCTTACTCTTACTTCTTGGCTGCTTTGAAAAGCAACCTCATTTTTGCTCCAGCATATACCAGTCTGGGTCTATTTTATGCCGACTATACTAAGGATAAAAAGAGATCACGAAAATGCTTTCAGAAAGCGTTTGAACTTTCTTCCTCCGAAGTTCTTGCTGCAGAGCGATTGGCTAGAATATTTGCGGATCAGAGCGAATGGGAACTTGTCGAAGTTGTTGCTCAACGAGTTGTGGATTCTGGCAAAGTCAGACCAGCACCAGGCTCGAAAAAGAAGGGTATTAGCTGGCCTTTCGCTGCTCTTGGGGTAGCCGAATTAAACAAGCAAGAATATGCCAGGAGTATCATCTCCTTCCAGTCCGCGCTTCGAATTGCACCCAATGACTATCATTCCTGGGTCGGTTTGGGAGAGAGCTACCATAATTCCGGGAGGTACATTGCGGCAACAAAGGCATTTCAACATGCTGAGAAGTTTGAGGAAGAGATTACTCAAAACAAAACTGGCGAGACTTGGTTTGCCAAGCATATGCTTGCAAATGTGAAGATGGAGCTTGGCGACTACGATGATGCTATTGAGGGTTATCAGAACGTGCTGGCAGAACACGCCGAGGAATTCGGTGTTGCCATAGCGTTGATACAAGCGCTTGTGGAAAGTGCTTGGGACGGTATTGGAAAAGGCCTTTTTGGACATGCCGCTCAGCGCGCTAGAGAAACCATCGATGCGGCTATCAAACTTGCTGGGATTGGTGCTGGTGCATTCAATCTTTGGAAAGCAGTTGGTGATGCTTGCTCTGTATTCTCGTGGATCCAGTCTCGTCTCAAGGAATTTCCTACAGAAAAGATCAAGAGCCTTCTTCAAACTGGAAACGAGAAAGATACATACACCCTCTTTGCTGATATTGACGGAGTGGGTATCGACGTCGTATTTGCAGAAGTGAAGTTTCCGATAGATGAGAGGGAAGGTCTCCGACTTACTCAATGTCTGCATGGGTCAATACTGGCGCATAAAAGAGCCATATTCTCCTCGGCCCATGATATACATGCACAGGCTGTTGCTTATTATAATCTGGGATGTGCAGAATATCGAGCCCAAATCTGTCTCGGAGAAATTCTGAAGAAAAGGTCGACGAGGTATCTGAAAGCAGCCGTCCGCTGTTTCAAACGAGCCATAGAGCTGGAAGCTGGAAATTCCGAGTTTTGGAATGCCCTCGGCGTTGTTACGTGTGTACTGAACCCGCGAGTCTCCCAGCATTCATTCGTTCGTAGCCTGTTCTTGAATGAGCGAAGCCCTCAAGCATGGACCAATCTAGGTACATTGTATCTCTTGCAGAATGATTTCGATCTCGCCACCGATGCTTTCACTCGGGCTCAATCAAGTGACCCTGACTTTGCCCATGCCTGGGTTGGACAAGGTCTTTTGGCACTTCTGATGTTAGGTGATACAAAAGAAGCAAATCTCTTGTTCACTCATGCTATGGAATTATCAGATTCTTCATCTCTCATCACTAGGCGGCAATATGCACAATCGACATTTGACCAGATTCTAGCATCTTCCAATATATCAAACGTTCTAGATCTTGTTCAACCATTATTTGCTCTTGGCCAACTTCAGTCCATGGCCCCTAAAGATCTGATATATCGGCATTTGTCAACACTTTTCTCGGAGCGCATCAATGACGTAGCTTCTAGTGTTGCTTCATTGTCCAAGATTTGTTCGGTCGTCGAAGCGGACTACGAGGTTACAGAATCACCATCATCTCTTTCTAGATTTGCATTGGCAAAGGCGGATCTTGCGCGCTCACAACTTTCTACTGGCTCATATACTGACGCTATCGACAATGGCGAAACCGCATTGGAACTCAGCGACGAAGATGCTGGTAATGATCTTCCTGCCGAAGTTCGACAAAAGTGCAGATTGTTAGCTCATCTCACTGTCGGTCTAGCACACTACCATAACCAATGTCCAGAGAAAGCCCTCCAATTCTTCGAGCCAGCCTTGAAAGAATCCAATGGGAATCCAGACGCGGTATGCCTCCCCACTCAGATGCTCTGGGCAAAAGGAGATGAGGATTCACGAAGCAAGGCCCAAGAAATTCTCTTCGATTGTGTTGAGACCCATCCAGATCATGTCCAGTCGGTGATTCTTCTGGGTGTCATTGCTCTCCTCGACAAGGACACTGAAAGTCTGGAGGCTGTTTCCGCTACTCTACAGGAATTGCGTGCGACTCATAAAATTACCGATATCGAGCAATCGCAAGTTAGCGAGGTTCTCCGTGCCATCGCTGCCTTTTCGGGTGATGATGCTGAGCAAGCAATTCTCACGGAAATTCAAACAGATATCTTCCTTCATCCTGATCAGCCCCATGGCTGGAGTCATCTTGCTGATATTGGAGGCGTGGATGATGAAGCGGGTGCGATGGCTTTGCTTACTGCGATCAAAGGTGTTCCTCCGTATGGTGTATTAGAGGCAGAGGCTTTGGGTCGAGCGTTTGCTGGAACGAAAAAGTTGGGGGATGCGCAGACGGCTACCATGCTTGCTCCATGGAAGAAAGATGGATGGGCTGTTTTGGGCGAGATTCTGGAGGGGAGGGAATAGAGAAGTAATTGTCCTTTGGGAATTGTTGTTTGGGTACAGCTTTCCAACACTGGACGCTATTTTGTGACGATGTATGAAATTATGAGATACGGAAATGGTGAGACAGAGTTAGAATAATGTACCTAGTACTTTAAGGATAAAGACCCTCTCATAGCTGAAAACAGTTATCTTTACACAGTAAAAATTGTAGTCCTCTATAACACCTACACTTTGATTATGAAAATATGGAAAATTGTTCGTAAGGGATGTTTTTAAGTATAAGAGCTGGAAATAATCAGGGTCTATCTTAATTACGGCGTAAGATAGAATAGTAGTAGCGTGCTAAATTCGAGTAGTTGAGTTAAGTAGTTAATTAGTTCTATTAATACGCTAAATAGCGGAGTCTAAGTAACGATCAAGATAATATAGTTAAAGTTACGAGCTAATAACGAACATAAGGGTAGTCGGTTGTCTAGATTATCTAGAGTAATTAAAGTAATCTAATTTCCTAAAACACTTTTAGAGATAGCTTGTTTTCGAATATTAGTCGGTTAACTAAATTCTCTATCTAGAGTGATTAAAGTAAGCTAATTTACTAAAACTTCTTCGAAGTAAGTAGCTTACTTTCGAATGTCTTATAATTTTTGATGATATAGATAAGAGGGGCTCTTTCGTAAAGGTTTTATAAGTAGGTAGTAATAGGAAACTATACTAGAATATCCTGCTTGCGGCCTCTATTAAGGAAATCCACGCCCGCGCTATTGCTACATGTGATGTGGCCGAACGAACTCGTTTTAGTACATACAACTACAATAGTTGTATCTTGGAGGCATAAGCGTTAATTCACCATTGGTTCCATGTTGCTTCCAGACATGAGAACGTCCCTGGTTTGTACTAGTGCACCCCGCTCGGTACGGCCTCTGTATGTTCCGACTTATCCAGAATTTTATAACATTCACGTCGCAAAAGTTACCAGAAGGGGACGAATACCCGGCCGACGAAGATTAGATGGCAAGATGATGAGAAGTGAAGGTTGAGATGCGGGGATAGGGGAGTCTACCGTGGTAATACCATGGTCATTGTTGGGGGGAAAAAACACCTTACACGGGAAACAAATACTAAAGAAAAAGACAAAAAAGTATTAATTGGAGTCTGCAAGAATCGAACCTAGAATGTTATTAGTAATAAACCTCGAAATTAGAATATGTATAGACTTACTCGCGACCTCTCCCAGTATCAGGCTCGTAGAAGCCGTGCTAAGGGAACATTATACCACTAAACCAAGACCCCTGTTTGTGTGTTTTTGGATGGAGGTGGGAGTGATGTTTGTGGTGTCAAAGAAAAGCGGATTTTGGGGCCAAAGGAAAACGTGGATCCAGTTGTGGACTTTGATTGGTCGGGGGAAAGAAAGAAATGGGGATGGTTCCACAGCGCTCTTGGTGGAAAGAGCTTCTTGCTTGGAGGAGAGAGACAAGACTTGAGCAATACCTGCAACCAAGATCATTGAGAAGGCATTATACTATTATGCTTGGTTGCCGAACATTGATTCGTACTATCGCCACTACGAGATCATCAATCCATCAAAATTTTTCAAGGGACTTTGGTTTGAACGCGAGGATGGAGACGGGAAACGTCAAACCGAAAGTCGCACCTTTTACAAGGGCAGTTGTTGCTGCGATGAGGAAAGTGTAAGTTTTGATACCGTCCACTCACCTCCTGAAGACTTCAAATCAATTTCCGTGCTAATGTTTTCGAAAGATATCCAGAGGCCCTAGCAGATAAAAGCTTCGACAATACGGGATGTAGGTACTTTCCCATATCTCACGGATTGGACTGTGTGACGTTGAGACGTTGAGACATGACTGACAATCTCAAATAGTATTACTGGAAGCGCCTTTCAGAGAACATGGTCATCTGAAGAATTCCGCGCTGGTGACGGTGGATTTGACGACTGCTGTTGCAGATGAGGCTATTAGAAGGAGAGATTCGATTATTATTGCTTACCGTATGTTGTATTGAGTTTCTTTTCTCTGTTTCAAGTCAGTTGCTCCGAATCCGCTTGGTGAAAGGAATTGATTGACCTTGGTATCTCTATTTCTGGAGCGTTCTCTCCTTTTTGCCAGGATCTGCTCTGCTCCTTGATGGACTTTCAGCTTTTCTCTACAACCCATAGCCAGGTTGATACCGTCCTATCCATTAATCTATCATTCATCTTCTCTGACACTCTTTCGCTTCTATCATATCACAAGTCTTTAATACAACCCTCTCATCCCAGGGCCCATTACATAGCCACACATGAAAACATTTCCCAGATTAACGAGCTTTTCACAGACCCAATAATCTTCCGCGGTCTCAAATCCCTCACCCAGGCCGAGACCCAAACCACAACTCTCCTCCGCCTAGCCCAAGAAGGAATCAGCGTCTACTGCCCCCACACAGCCGTCGATGCCGCACCAGGAGGTCTAAACGACTGGCTAGCAGACATCTTCCTATCCTTGGGACCCAGCACGTTCGTATCCCTCCCTCCTTACTACATCCCTCGCTAACAAAATATAGACGTACAAACATCACGCCTCTCAAAACCTCAATTCCAGCAGGTTTCGAGACAGCGGGCTACGGACGGATCGTTCGTTTCTCTACTCCTCAGACTCTGGGCTCGATTGTAAGAAAGATTACAGAACATACGGAATTGAAGGGTGTTTCTGTAGCCACGCCGCAGCGCGTTATTGATAAGCCAGCTATCGAGATTGAGTCCATAGGCATTTGTGCTGGTTCGGGAGGTTCTATGTTGAATGGATTGGATGTGGATTTGTTGTTTACTGGAGAGTTAAGTCATCATGAAGCTTTGGCTGCGATCGAGAAGGGGAAGTGTGTGATTACTACCTTCCATAGTAATAGTGAGAGGGGCTTCTTTAGGAAGAGTATAGTTTCTAGGTTAAGTGGAGTGGTGGATGAGGAAGTTGGGGTATTAAGGAAGAACGGGGAGATTGGAGAGAAAGAGGCGTGGAAGATTGATGTTAGTGAGGTTGATTGTGATCCTTTCTCGCTTGTTATAAATGGAGATGTGGGTTGGTAAAGGCTTGTTCCTTACACCAAAAGCAATTGTGATTGGCGTTTCTAGAGCTATAGAAGGTCTGAATGGTAGTTAGTCCATAGAGAAAGCTTCTCACAATACCATAATGCAGAGATAAGTTTGGTCGCTCCCAGAAGGGTATCATGATTTCGATTGCTTCTTTGCCTTGACATTAACCCAACTCTTCTCATTCGCTGGCTCTCCCCTCAAAGCTGCCTCACCATCCTCAATACAATCTTCTACATCCCCACCACCAACTCCCCTCTCCCTCCACCTCTCTAACAACTTTGAAGGGTAAACCCACATATTTCTCGCTTGCTCATTCTTTCCCTCAGCAACTAATAATCGTATCTTTTCCGGCGTTTCTAGCACCCTCTCAACAACCTTCCTCCTCCTGTCCCTCTCCTTCGCGGCCTCCCTCTCCCTCTCGCTCATCTCCTCAACCCCCTCCCTCCACTCCCCCCTTATCTCCACAGCCTTCCTATAAATCCCCCTAATTTTCGGATCCAGCTCTCGCGCAACCGGGTTATCCTTCCCCATATGATCCCTCATCTTCCGTATCGTTTCAGTAGCAGCAATCAATTTACTATAATTATCATAGACCAATGCTTTCTTCTCAGCATCCAACGCTCTGATATCCGTCAGAATCTGGTTATACGTCCGCAATAACTCAGAGAGCGGCTGTGTTTCCAAGACATGTTTGGTGTATGTTTCTGAATTGAAGGTGGGAGAGTCCAGCGGTGAGGTCTGCACATCGGAGATGTCGTGGATGGAGGAGGTTTCGCTGAAGGTGTCTGTACGAGGAGGTGAGGATTCGGGGATTACGGGAATGGATTGGGTGGCTTTGAGGTTGTAGTATTCGCGGAGGGCGGCGCGGGAGGCTTTTCTGGGCTGTTGTTGGGGATTGGGAGAGGCGGAGGTGGAACGGTTTATTTCGAGGGAGGGGCGTGAGGAAGATGTAGGTGTTGCGTTGATGGGGACTCGACGTCCATTGACGGAAGAGTCTCGAGGTGATGCTATTGTGGACATATTTTTGGGGCTAATGAATTATGAGTTCGAATTCGTTATAAATCAGAAGATTTCATTGCGTGATGGAATGGTCTTTATGGTGTTGTCGTCAGTTTGGAAGGAGTTACCGAGTCTGATAAGGTGACGAAGCTCAAAATCTGGGGAAGGAAGGCTGACGACCGAGGCTGTGGACGAGGCTCTGAGTCCTCTCCACTTCATTCACAAAATCATCTCTTCACGATCCAAACTTCACAACGTAAGTACTTTCCCCGATGTTTTTGTCTAAGTTACGAAGGAGCCTTGAAATCCCAAAGGAGTATACATGAAGCTATTCTACAACAACAAAACTTCTCAAAATGAACCAACCGCCAACCACAACCCCCCACCTACTGACCACCGCGCTTCTCCAAGCTGGCCTTCCACAACCATCACCCATCTTCCTCCACCCGATCCTCACACCCTCAAGCGGCCGTCTTCCACCTCTATCCTCCCTCCTAGCAACAACCCGAGTCCGTCTTTTGAACGCCGACATAACAAACGCCAATGTCCTCTCCCCACAAACCCCCTCCTTCCCCGCAAGCATAACTTCCACAACTCTAAAGTCAAGTTCTCTCTCCGCCGATATCCCTTGTCAAATCCTCGACATCGAAGATCTCTCAAGAAGCAAATGGGATATTGTTGAATCGCTAGAGAGCGAACGGAAGGGGGAGACGACAAAAGGGAGGGAGGTGATTAGGGTATTACCCACACAACCGGAGGACTCTACACAAGCTACACAGTTCCCTCTCGCGGCTACAACGCCAGCTGTACAGCAGAAATCACATGGACCTTTTAAGGTTTTGTTGCAGGATGTCAAGGGGCAGAAGGTTTATGGATTTGAGCTAAAGAGAGTGGAGAAATTGAGTTATCCGCCAGGAATGAACATTGGCTGCAAAGTTATATTAAAGAAAGACGTGAAAGTTGCACGAGGAATGGTTTTATTAGAACCGGAGTCTATTACTGTGCTGGGGGGAAAGATTGAAGCTGTTGACAAGGCTTGGAAGGAGATGAGAGAGAATAGATTGCGGGAAGCCGTGGGAGCTCCTCCTATTGGAGGTGCCAGATGAGGCTATGAATTATGACGAAAAAACCAAGATACCCAGCGATGAATGTCACATTCGATAATAAAACACCGTCTGTAATAAATTATCCTCTTAGCATTCAAAAGTACGGCCATCTATTCAGTTTTCGATGCCATCCGATTGTCCCAAGAAGAATTCGAGCGGGACATACTAGAAGGAACAGAAAATTCGATACCCAGGCTTGCAAGGAATGATCATGGTCTCATCATGCCTTCGTACAATCAAGTTCCCAAATTCCAGAAAGGTCCTGTAATGATCATTTGAAGTCCTCCGAACGACGCGCATGGAAATAAACAAACCATTCGATAGAAACCGCATCGTCTGCAACAAGAAAAACTCCTCTTGAATACGCTTTGGAAAATTTTGTACTTGTAGACCAACCCTTCCTTGATCCAGATAGTTTGGAAGGCTCTGAGACAAGTACGGCTTGAAATTTGCAAAAGAGTTTCAGAGATCATCATCAATAGTTTTCCTAGATTGCGAAGCATTTTCTAAATCAATGCCTCTAAAACCAGCAATAACAAAAAGTAAGATTGGGTGGGTTTATCAGAAAAGTCGTTTATCGCATGATCTCTGCAAAGATCAATTCTTTGAGCTGTTCCTTGCTGAGATTGTCCTTGTTTTTGTCAAAATCGAAAAATTCCTCGGGGATGGGCTGAGCAGTTGGCTCATCCTCGGGGTCGTGGTAGGGTTCAAGGTATGGGTGTTGAAGAGCTTCGTCGACTGTGATGCGCTTGACGGGGTTGAAAGCCAAGAGTTTCTCCAGAAGATCCAAAGCAAGATCAGAGGTCTTGGGGAAAAGGGTTCGGAGTGGGACCTTCTTTTTGAATGGCAGCGATCGAATGTACTCGCGCGCACGACGAGACTTGATACCATAGTAGTCCTCCATTGTTGGCGTACCAAGGACATCCAAGATGAGGGTAAGTTGGTGGTGATCTGGTTTCTCAGTTAGCGCCTGAAAATTACATCCGAAAGAATAAGACTAGCTTACAATCCTTTCCAGGGAACAGAGGTTTGCCACTCAACATTTCTGCCAAAATGCATCCAACAGACCATACGTCAATTGCCTTGGTATATTCCTTAAATGTCAACATGATTTCTGGCGCACGGTACCAACGAGTAGCAACATATTCAGTCATGAATCCAGAATTATCCTCTTGAGAAGCAGCAGAACGGGCCAGACCAAAATCGCAGACCTTCAAGTCACAGTTGGCATTTAGTAGCAAGTTGGAGGGCTTGAGATCTCGGTGCAACACGTTGGCCGAGTGCATTGCCTTGAGAGCACGCAAGGTTTGGTAAATGAAGTATTGGCAGTGGTCATCGGATAGGTCCTGAGTTCGAATGACTCGGTGCATATCAGTCTCCATCAGTTCCTGTAAATCGATATTAGCAACAATCATCCATAGCACTGAAAAAATGTGGAATTATACACGCACCTGAATCAGGTAGACTTCGGTAAAGGTCTCATAGTTTCGAGGCTTTTGGATGTCAAGGATGGAGATGATGTTTTCGTGGTTGAAGTATCGAAGGAGCTTCATTTCTCTGAGGGTTCTAAGGCAGAACATGGAGTGGTCAAAGGGGGTGATCTTCTTAATGGCGACTTTTTGTCCAGAGGGCTTGTGAAGGGCAGAACTGCAGAACATGTTAGCCCCTCGTAATTAATACAATCGAACCGACCATCGATGCAGAAGCCATATCCGATTATCGTAACCCATGACCGCAACGCACTTTACACTATATCTAGCAATGTGGCTATTGTCTTTGGTGGGGATGAGGACACCAAGGGGTGGGCTTTGACTTTGACGATGGATCGTTCGAAAAGATTTCTCTGCGAACTTACCAGACAACTCCATAAGCACCTTCTCCGACTACATCTTGGATATCGTATTGCTCTGAGACGTTAAAGGAAATCTTTCTGGACCCAGTGCTGGGATTGGGCGCGCGGTTCGACATGGTGAGGCTATCTTGAGCAGCGGCTCAGGGTCGAATGCGAATGCGGGGTTGAGGAATGGGGGGATGGTCGGAACAGAACAGCACCAAAGTATGCAGTGACCGCCAGAAAATCACTTGCAATGGCAGGTAAAATGTCGTTGGTTTTGGGCAGGTATGTAAGACGAAGTGCGATCAGGAGTGGACGCAGGATCCTTTGTTGTTTCTTGTTACCAGAGGGAGAGATGGATGCAGAGCTTCCTAGCGTCAAAGCACCCGGCAACTTTCAATGCACCTGGGCTCCGGAGAGTCAGTCAAAACGCTCTCGCTCCAGTCTTTTTACCTACACCACTAGGAGCCTTGCAATTGACACAGTCACTGTCACCGCAATATCACTCCGCGAATCTCTTGTCGCTTGTCGTTAATTTATCAGACGACCAGATTAGGATTTACAAGTGCAATTTCCAGTTCGTCAGTATTTTGCCGCACCGTCAAAGTTTCGTGTTGACGCTCAAGAGCGAAGGGGGACTGCAGTTGTCTTTGGTTCTGCGCTCGGCCCTGTCAGGAGGAAGTTTGGTCTGCCTGTCGCAGCTTTGGAAGTACTGTACAGTCCGGGACTGGGACTGGGACTGGAGCTGAGCGAGCGGTCTTGGGCCTCTTTCAGATGTGCAGTGGCTGTGGTGGAAGAGGACAAGTCTTCTATATGAAGGTGCCAGTCAGCTTTTTTCCCTTTGTACCTCTCTCTACCTTCAGTGTTGCATTTCGAGGGAGCAAACTCCAGAGCTTGAGAAGTCTCTCTGGCACTTTGCTGGCCTGGAGCAGAGCATGAGAGATGAGGTAGCAGCTGGAAACTAAAATCCCACTGGTTCCATTCCATCTGATCAGAATTCTTGTTGGAGCCGTACCTTTTGAGGATGAAGTCTGCTCTGTGTTCCACCAGTCGAGTATGGATGGCCCCGCTACAAGGATATGGTGTATTGTGATGGTTTGCCGATGTCACGATGATTTGGAGAGGACTCGCAGCTGCAATTATATCAAAGCAGCAAAGAACCAGACTCGAAATCTGGTAAGTGAAGAAGAGAGAGGGGGGAAGTGCAAGAGTCCACGAGGTAGTATATCAACGCCTTCTAATAGGAGCTAGTATGTATAGGCATGCAGTAGCAGTAGGCAGCTGTGACTTGGGCGAGAACTTGACCTCCTGGATCAGGAGTACCATGAAGGCGGTACCCCTTACCCTCTATCTCGCGAGCTTCTCACCGACCCCAAAGGTCACTTATTGTGGTGTGCCGTGTGCGGCCCTGTTGGTGTTGTCACTCTCGAGGGGTGTGTATGGACTATCTTGAGCTCCCATCCAACGTATCAGGGGTAAAGAACAGGGGAAGACAACCAAGCCGACCTCCTTCCACCACTAAGTTAAGCGCCGAAAGCCCATCACATTACCCCTCCTCCCCATTTGCAAAATCACTTCCATCGAAATGCGTCACAAATCATCTCGTGGATGCCACCCTTTGAGCCAGAGGCGCCTGTTTCACGAAAATACGGTTTCATGCGTGGTCCGCAGATGTGATCGAGTGTTGCTTGTATATTATTCTGCAGATTCCAGGAACGATGCCCAACCAGAGTATCCAAATACCAACACCTTTCAGCCTTTTCATGTACTTGATCCTTCTTCACAACTCCCGTGTGACCTCGTGATCGTTGTTCGACACCATCGACCTCTTTCCCACTGACTCCAAGTCTCAAGCGAAGAGGATCACAAAAAAGATTGTTGGCGGCTGGTTGGTACAACCGTACAAGTCGGGGTCGGAAAATTATTCTACCCCGTATTGCCCGTACACGACGTTTGATGTAGCACATGGAGGAACCGCCTGTTCCTGAGATCCCAAATCAGGTACGGTAGCACTACATACCGCCCCAAAGTGGCATCTTGTATGCCGTTGAAGATTAACATATGAGAATCCGGGAGATTCTGGGTCGAGATATCCGAAAGCTTTGCGACAATATCCAAGGACTATCATCTTTCAAGTAGTGCCCGATGAGAAGAGGGATTTCCCGAATTGCTTAAGGCTACGCAGTGTGGTCTGGAAAGAAGATTGTGACGAAATGGAGAGCAAAAGTCACACGTTTTAGGATTTGTTTGGCCGTCTGGTCTCAACTTTAAACTCCTTCCACATGGGAGATTGGGAATAAAGTTATAGGGTCTTGTTTTCAACCTCTACTGGTCACAATTACAATAATTTGCCGACTTGATCTTGCTGAACTATCAATTCCAGCTATCCGCCAGACTGTTGTTTGCTTTTTGGGTCACGGGCCCCTTGATTTTGTAGCATGCTCTTCTCAAGTTGGTTGGTACACACTGAATATGTCGGTATTATTGTTGGCATATCATACGCCCTCACCTACTCATTCACAGGGTGAAGAGCGTTGGTTCATAGAAATACATGTGGCAGGAAATAGGTTGAGAAATTCTCTTGAATCCGATTGCACTCAAATGATGCCTTGAAAATTATGCCTTGCAAATGATGCCTTGCAAATGACTAATGCCGCCAAAACTCGAATGTAAATGTTTTTGGTAATTGTAGGGAGTCACTCAGTAGATAATTCCTATCAAACTCGTTTTGCTTTTCTCCGTTCTATATATAGTTTAAGTTTAGATGAACCATTAAAGTCGATCAGCCTTAGCTAAGCCTCCGCTTCAGTGGGGATCCGGAAGGTGGCACAACCCTGAATGTTCGCCCATTTTGCATGTGGCCCGATCATCATACTCTTGTCGGCTTGATTTACCATACACCCCCCTGAGCCTCAGTCTCAAGGTTCTTCCTACAACATCCTTCCTTCCTTCCTTCCACAAATTTTTTCTTCTCACTTCACTGATCCCTTTTCATTCTTTCATTGCAACTCCTACACGTCTACATCTGCGTCTGCGACATTTACCAATTACCCTCTCTAAAAGTTCGATCCACAATCATGGCCTGGGGAAGATCAACACCGAAGCCTCCCCCACCAGCCCAATCAGCTTTTGTGTAAATATCCACAACGTGTTTTTGCGGAGAAATTTGCTAACAATCGCGCCAGCAAATCGCTCCCTCTTATCTTCTTCCTGATCTTTTTGGCCATATGCGCCTTCATCGGCTATCAAATCTATCTTTCCGTCCAAAATATCTCCCATGCCGCCTCGGACAAGATGCAATCTAAGAATGTCGTATTTACAAAGGACGGAGTGAAGGTCGGTGTCAAGGAAGTGAAGAACGAGAACTACGTAGACAACACACAGAGCTTTATGGTGAAGGCGTGGAATTTGAGCACATTATCTGGGTCAAAGGATCGCATACAGGATAAAAGGACCGAATCCAGGATGCCGTAAGTAATTTGATTCTATTCATTCTTTAGATCAGACCCTCCGCCTTCCCCCTCATGCGCATTGCAAAGCGCAATCGATTTGGGGCACTGGAAGCTGCGCATGCGATCTGACATGATTGCCTGTCGTATCAGCGGCATTTGGGCTTCACTTCAAATACCCGCACATCGATACTTTGGTGCTGACACGCTATTTTCCCAGATTCTCCCGAACTTCCTCTAGCCGATCGAAATAAGCTGGAGATGGTAGAGGCTGTCTATATTTTTCCAATTGATACCCAAATACCTCTTCTGTAGCGCATTCTCCGACACAAGGATTTCCATTTATTAATCATATGCAAGAGTGGGTTGATCTCGCTCTAGATGCTGGGGGTTTCAATTTTCCTAAATCAGCTGTACGAAACATTTGCGATGGAAGCGGTATAGTTTTGCGATGGGATGAACTTGATGTGTTTTTAGGTCAGGAGTTTTCTGTTATACATTAATGGCCCAGTCTCTTGTTATTGTTCTATTGGGAGGGTTGAGTTATCAAATATCAAAAATCTCGCATTTAGTACTACCTCGATTTCTCTATCCATTCTAACAAGCATATTTAAAGAACCCTCCAAGGCTTGGGTTGCATATGTGAAACCAGGACAGAATCATAGTCCTGCACCACTTTCAAGCAGAAGAGAGTGAAGGCATCCTTTTCCAGATGTTCCCTCACTATGATGAACTCCCTTCATGGAAGAAGCTTATCTGTACGAAGGTATTTTTTACAAGACCAGTGATGGAATACAAATCAAGTGAATGGCCAAACAGAGCAGAGAGTGTCCGGATAAACTTCGCGTAATTAGGACGCAATTGTGCATCCTTTTTCTTGATCACGGCATCAGATAAGATCTCTCTACAAAAGATTTACCCACCCAGGTATTACATAAATTCTTCGTCCTTCCCACACCTATACAGCCAAAATGGTAGAAGAATCACCCGTCACAGAAGCAGTCCTCAAAGCAAAACTCATCTCAGAACTCCAAGCTACCCATGTAGAAATCGAAGATATGTCCGGTAGATAATTACCCCGCCATCCCACCTCCCTCTCCCTCTATTATACGAACTAATTCCTCCAACAGGTGGATGCGGACAAGCTTTCTCTGCCATAATCGTCTCGCCGCAATTCGAAAAGAAGACTACGCTTGCGAGACATCGATTGGTGAATAAAACGCTGAAAGCCGAGGTTGCTGCTATACATGCCTGGACGCCGAAGTGTTATGCGCCAGATCAGTGGGAGAAGGTGAAGAATGACGGGGAGAGTACTGTTGCGCCTGGTAAGGATACCACGGGTGAGGTTGTTGAGGGAACGGCGGCTTGAGGAGATTATGGAGGGTTTTGTACGAATACTGAAGTAGTGGACTTGAACTCCGTTCCGCAACACATGGATGGTGTTTGAAGAAGGAGTGGGTGAGATACTAATATGGTCACGATAATTTTGCCACGGAGACATTGGGAAGGACAGATGGGAGAAAGCTGGTATGGGTAGAAGAGGATTCTCTATAAGTCTCGAGGGAGATTTTATATTGATAGATGCCCAGTGCTCGGCTATCCTCTAGGAGAAACTATGGCAATGGATGGACCATCGTGTAAGCCCATATTCTGCACTACGGACTTCTACGCCAGAGGAGAGAGAAATATTCTAACTTTTGCAGTAGAGTGTTCCTTCAATCCACTACCAGTCCGTCCCAGTCTTGCATCTCTGTTTCTATGCTTCTCCTGAGTGACTCTCTTGTAGCGAATTTAACCTGCTTAGAATTTCCACATTCCCGCTACTGTCCCTTAGAAGCAGATGGTCTCTGGACTTGTAGCCTGAGTGTAGGGCATTGTCATGATGGAGGGGCGTCATTCGCATCGGAGTTGAAGGCGCTATTTTACGACTTTGTTCATTTTCTGCGCGACGAGACCAAAAACTGCTACCGAGGACATGAAGAGAACGATATTATAGAACTAGATTTTGACAATTATTACATATACAAGAAAGGGGAGGGGTTACTTACAGCCTTCCTCGAGTATGCGCTTTCTTCCACATCTGTTCGTGCTTCAACAAACAAGCGCCGGAGGTTTGGGAGGTTTGCCTTTGAAAAATTTGTTAGACTCATGATTTTGGAATGTTGTAAAGGAGAGAAATATCATTCACCATAGTCGACACTACCGCTTTCAAGTAATCTCACCAACCGTGCGTGGTTGGGTTGTGTTGTTGTTTCATGTCAATGGATCTTGTAGACAAGGAGCTCCCTCCACATCCAGGATTCCAGGCGAAGCTTGAACTCCTGCACCCCTGCAAGCGCACCAGAAGGCTGAGAGAAGTGGCCGAACACCTTCCACCTTACAAACGACACCACATCCACCTTCACCCCCACCGAAATATCTCGAGGCCTCAGTGTTTCCTTGAAAACGAACTATTCCCACATCTAGACTTGTCGAACTCCCTCTTCGCACAAAGCTGCCGGCCGACGAACAGCCTCTAGGAAACGGACCCCAGTGTATGAGGGGCAGGACCTCGAATCGCCATCTATAAGTGATGGCGGTCAACAGGATCAAAGGGGCCTTCCAGGTACCCAGAAAAGGCGAGACCTTCGAATTAAGAGCAGGCTTGGTCTCTCAGTACGCATACGAGCGTAAAGAGGCGATTCAGAAGACTATTATGTCCATGACCTTGGGCAAAGATGTGTCTGCATTATTTCCGGACGTATTAAAGAACATTGCTACAGCGGATCTCGATCAGAAGAAGCTAGTCTATCTGTATTTAATGTATGTCAAGGCCAGACTTGACCAGGCAGAGGAGATGCTGACATTTCATTGTTAGGAATTATGCCAAATCACATCCAGATCTATGTATTCTCGCGGTCAATACCTTTGTTCAGGACTCAGAGGATCCAAACCCACTTGTGCGGGCACTTGCTATTCGAACAATGGGTTGTATCAGAGTGGACAAGATGGTGGATTATATGGAGGAACCTTTACGGAAGACACTACGGGACGAATCTCCTTATGTTCGAAAAACTGCTGCCATATGCGTTGCGAAATTGTTCGACTTGAATCCGACAATGTGCCTGGAAAATGGGTTTCTGGAGACGTTACAGGAGCTAATTGGGGATCCCAATCCAATGGTAGTCGCCAACTCTGTCACAGCACTAGCAGAGATCAATGAAGCCGCGCCAGAAACTAAAGCTCTACGGGTAACACCTGCGACCTTGAAGAAAATGCTGATGGCACTGAACGAATGTACAGAGTGGGGCCGAGTTACTATTCTTTCTACGCTGGCAGAATACAATGCGCAAGATATGAAGGAATCTGAACACATTTGTGAAAGAGTGTCTCCTCAGTTCCAGCACGTCAATCCTAGTGTAGTTTTGGCTGCCGTCAAAGTGGTATTTTTGCACATGAAATATGTGAATGAGGATCTCACAAAACAGTATCTGAAGAAAATGGCTCCTCCATTAGGTATGTAGCTTATGCGACTAAGTGACATTTTTTTTTCATGCTAATTCGAATCAGTAACTCTTGTTGCATCGGCCCCTGAAGTTCAATATGTCGCATTACGAAACATTGATCTACTGCTTCAGTCCAAACCCGACATATTGAGCAAAGAACTGAGAGTATTTTTCTGCAAATACAACGATCCTCCATACGTCAAGCTTCAAAAACTTGAAATTATGGTTAGAATAGCAAACGACAAGAATGTCGACCAGCTCCTGGCCGAATTGAAAGAATACGCTCTGGAAGTTGATATGGACTTTGTTCGGAGAGCTGTCAAGGCTATTGGGCAGGCAGCAATCAAAATCGAGAGTGCTAGTGAAAAATGTGTTAATACACTTCTTGATCTTATTGCAACGAAAGTCAATTATGTTGTCCAAGAAGCTATTGTGGTCATCAAGGACATTTTCCGAAAATATCCCGGATATGAAGGCATTATTCCTACACTTTGCAAACATATTGACGAGCTGGACGAACCAGAAGCACGAGGCGCTCTCATCTGGATTGTTGGGGAGTACGCAGAAAAGATCAGTAATGCTGATGACATATTGGCTGGGTTCGTTGAGGGGTTTATGGAGGAGTTTACACAGGTCCAGCTGCAAATTTTGACTGCAGTTGTCAAGCTGTTCTTGAAGAAACCGGACAATAACCAAGGCCTGGTTCAGACGGTTCTCCAAGCAGCAACTGCCGATAATGATAATCCAGATATTAGAGATAGGGCCTATGTTTACTGGCGATTATTGTCTGGCGATTTGCAGATAGCCAAGGTATGTTGGCAACATTTCTTTCTTTTAAACATAATAGCTAATTTTCCTAGAACATCATTCTTTCAGACAAGCCCCCAATCAAGTCAACCATGTCATCTCTTCCACCAGCCTTACTTGAGCAACTTCTGGGCGAGCTTTCCACACTTGCCTCTGTGTATCACAAACCACCAGAGACTTTTGTTGGTCATGGCCGGTATGGAGCAGACGCTATTCAGCACGCCGCCATTCAGGAACAAAGAGAGAACGCTGTAGAGAATCCTATTGCAGCCGCAGTTACAACTCAAAACGGTCAAAATAACGCGGAGAATCTTCTCGATATCGATTTTGACGGTGCTGCGCCAGCATCAGCTGATGCACCTCCAGCATCTGGTTCTTCTGGCTTGGAAGGTCTAGCTGGTACGCCACAAAGAATTGCTAGTCCTCAAGCTCAAGCTCCAGCTAGCAGCATGGACGACATGATGGGCTTATTCGATATGAACGGGGGGAGCTCTAGTGCAGCACCACCATCACAAAATGAATTGATGGGTGGATTTGGTGGATTAGAACTTGGTGGTGCATCTCAGCCACCTCCCGCACAAGTGGGGGGTAATCAAGGCAAGAAGACGAATGAAGATTTGCTTGGGATGTTTTAGACGAAGTTTTTTATTTCCTTCCAAAGGTGTGCCGCTTGGGGCTTATTAAAGCAATGGATGAATGCATCAAGTCTGTATGACAAGGAGTGTATTTTGGCCAATAGATAAAACATGTTCACAACTACCTGTGAATATCAATTTCATGTATCCTGGTACTGTAATGTAACTCTGACTGATACAATATACAACAAGAATAAGTAGTTATCTAGTCGCTATCCGACCCAGATTCTGAAAACACGATTCCAGCCTTCGCGCGAGCCTTGCGTATCTTTTCTGCACGCTCTTCTTCATCCTCGGATTCCTCCTCGTTTGTTTTTGCTCTCATTGTCCTTTTTTGTCCCCCTCCCTCCTCGTCATCCTCTTCATCAGACTCGGATGGAAGCTTCATGCTCTTTTTTACAGCCGTGCTCCTTGATCTCCTACCACTAGTCATACCCCAACTCTGCTCACCTTTTTGTACGTCCTCCAAATCCGCCTGCAATTCCCTCATTTCCTTGATTTCCTTCGCTCGCGCGTCGCTAAATCTCCCCACCATCCCGGCGTCTTTCAGCATCTTGGATAGATGAGCGATCTTGGCTTTGGAGTCATCATTGTATTCTTTGAGTTCAAATTGCCAGATCTTGCGAATTCCACATTTAACGAGCTGGGATTGCAGAGTTTTGATCTGCTCTTCTTGGGGAGAGAGCACGACCTTGGAGGTCTTGGCCTTGGACTCTCCTTTTGCTTTCTTAGACTTGGGTTCTTTGATTTCTTTCTCGCTGGATTTGCGTTTGCGTTTTGGCTTTGGTCCTTCGTCGATGACTATTGACATTTCTGATTCTGACGCATCGGCCTTTTCTGCTGCTTTCGAGGCAGCAAATTTAGCGGCTATTTTATCCTGCTCTGCCTCTTCCTCTTTGCTAAGCGGCGGGGGTGTGAGCTCTTCTTCTGTTTCGGAGTCTCGGGGTTTGGGCTTATTTTTTGGACGCCCTTCAAGGTTCTTTTTCAATTTCGAAGCAACTGGTTTATTAGGCTCTTCCTCATCAGAGCCTTCCGGCGTTGAGAGCAGTACCGAGCTTGCTATGGACTCAACATCGGAACCGGCTTTTGCTTTCTTGGATTTAGGGGTTGACGTTTTCCTCTTTGGTGTGGCCTTCTTTGGTTCCTCCTCGGGCTCAGCCTCTGAATCTTGGACCTTTAATGCCTTGGTCAATTTCCTGGGTTTGGGAGCTGCCTTTTTCTTCGGGGTAGGCTTCTTTTCTGGTGGTGGAGTGGCTTCACTATCCTCTGGTGACTCGTCGCTCAAGTCGTCGTCCTCATCTTCCTCGTCTGATGCGACTTGTTTTCTCTTCTTGACTTTTGACTTCACAGATGCCTTCGGCTTACGCCCTCTCTTTTTCGGTGCATCACTGAGTTCCGAAGTAGTCTCGTCAAAATCGCTCAGTATACTGCTATCGGATTGATCGTTATCGTCATCGGACGAAGCTTGCCGTTTCTTCTGCCGTTTTGCTGGTTTCGATTTGGCTGCCGCGGTAGCTTTTTGTAGACGCTTCTTTACCGGAGCAGCTGCCTTCTTTGTTGGTGGGGCAGGTTTCTTCTTCTGTGGTGTGGGTTCCTTTACATCCGCGTCCCCCGCTTGGTCCTGTACATGGCTCTACGCGAAAGCACTGATTAGAATCCAGTCGCATTGCGTGGGAGTGAGTAGTTACCACGGCTTCTTTTATGGTCGTCTTCGACTTCTCTTTCCATTCCGGTGTCAAGAAAAAGCTGGGGTCGATATCGAGATCCTTTGCGACGTGATTGCGGACGTATTTAACAGTCAAGACGTCGGGATCTTTGCGGTAGAGTTCAACGACCCCATCTTTGAGCGCTTTGATGATTGTATCCTCCGAAGCCGAAGGTGCCATATTGGTAGGCGTGTTCGTGAAGATGGGAGAAATGGGTGTGTTGTCGCAAATGGAGGTTGAACAAGTCTAGAGTTGAAGTCGCGTCCAAGGATCGTGGTCGGGTCGCGTTCCGAAAGAGGAAAGAAAGTGCCGGGCGCGGGGACAAAGCAAACAAAGCGGGGTGAAGAGGTGACAATGCCATTCTATCGCACTAAAATACTTTGGGAGACCTCAACACCGCCATAGCTCCACGTCTCACAGTATTTTGCTCCGGCTCTTTCTCAATCCAGTCTTGTGTTTTTGCTTGCTTTTGTTTTGCTTTCATTACGAAACAATAATCCTTGCATTCATCTCAAAATGCCCGACAAAGACATACATACAAACATCATGCTTGACCTCGAGTGTACCGACGCGACAGTTCCAAACCCCGTGATCATTGAGATTGCGGCGGTTCATTTTGACATACAAACTGGAATTGAGTTGGCTCATTTCCATTCTCCTGTCAACTTCCAGTCTTCGCTGGACCACAAACATCTGACAAGCAAAAAAGGACTTGAGTGGCTCAAGGACAATATACCCGAGACCCTCAAAACAAGCATGTCAACAAGTGTCTCTCTTGAGCAGGCATTATTCCGCTTCTCAAATTTTGTCCGCGGATGCTGTAAAACGACCAAGGATAGACTGAGAGACGAAGGATTTGAATCGAAAATCGAACACTCCCAACCCATGATATGGGGAAATGGTGCAGTAGCTGATAATGTTTGGATTGCAAGTGCATATAGGTGAATAAGTCTTTTAGATTTGAACGGCATTGATACTGAGTCCCGAGTTATCATAGGTCTTGTAATATGGTAAAGCCATGGGAATTTTGGAACGACATGTGTGTTCGAACCTTTGTCAGGCAGTGTAGCCTTATGACTGGAAGAGAATTCACAAAGGAACACGTCTTTGAAGGGACGATGCATATTGCTCTTGACGATTGCAGGAACCAGATTGTCTATCTAGTAAATGCCCGTAACTCGTTGGTTCCTGCGAGGCCAAAGCGAACTGTATCCTGTACAACTACAAGATCGAGGCTACTCAATAAAAAGGCATCTGCTTCAATTCTAAAAGCCTTGGAGTGCCTTGAATCCACCGATTCCCTGCAAAAACAGCCTGAGAGTAATCGCAAGACAAAAGCTGCATCATCGCCACCCACATCCCCGGAGCCTTTGAGTAAGAAGGCTGAAGAGTCGTTTAAGCCAGTTGAGACACCTCCCACCAGGTTGCCGAGAAAGAATGGATTGAAAACGCCATCTACTTCATTCTCTCATCCAGGAAACGAAGAAGAACATGATCAGTCGAAACATTTCAATGCTGCGGCCTTCCTATACAACTCGAAACACTCTCCAAAACCCAATAAGATTGGCTTATTATCACCGGAAACTTCCTTTTCTGAAAAGGATGGCGAAGGCGTCACACACGAAGCTCAAGCAACCACTACCAAACACTTCCAATTTGGTAGAAATATTTTGCCTGCTGACTCTCCAATTCCTGTCAGTTCTGAAAGCCCAGGTAAAAGACCATGTTCGCCTGAGAAGAACAAATCACAAACTATGGCACAGGATTCGAGTGATCGACCGCTCTCGCCTCCTACACCAAGACCGAGAAGGTGGTTCAGCTGATACCTCACATCTTGAACGATTCCTAGCGCCATTTGCTGTTGAGCTTTCTATTGATGAAATATAACTGTGGAGATGGTGCGGTAAGTGATGGCGGTCAGTCAACTGGTCTTTTAAGGCTTCAGGACTTTCTGTCGTACGGTTTTGAGCAAATGGTAGTATCCAATGGTCAAGGCAGCAGAGCAGGGTGTGGGAAATCATTCGCTTCAACGATTGCACGGTCATCAGAAAACCAATGGGATATTCCGTGACATCCTCTGGGTTGGCCCGTGTTTAGGTACAGTACCGTATTCCAAACGTACTGTGGGGATGCTGGCTTTTCATTGCAATAATGTAGATAGATCATGTGGGCATCACTTTAGAGTCCAACTTCGAGATTCAGGAATTTATTGTACGAGAAGTCCTAGTTGACTCATTGACTCAGATTATCAGAGGTAATGAAGGGTTGTAATTTACATATTATATAACCAATTTGTTTTGTGAGCTTTCCTAGGATAAGGTTGCCTCCAATTTGTGTGCGCAGAGCAGTGACCAAGTCTTGACAAAGTCATACTGTATCACATTTAAATACAACGCTCACCCCACCTAAGAAAGACATTGTCACAGCTTCACTGAACACAAATTATGTACTTTTCTTTATTGTTTTATTTGTTCGCTTCAATTTGCTCTTACCGCAAAGGATCTCGTTGTAGCAAGTCGTCTCTCTTGTCGAAAGCTAGCAACTATAGATGGGACTTTTCTTTATATCCCCGATTTTCTTCAGGTTTCTGTTAAGCCTGCGATTTAGCACACATTTGATCCACCAACAACAATTCCATCATAAAATCATGCATCAGCACCAACCAGCAAAATGTGATATCTCCACCAAACTCCCAACCCTCCAAATCTAAAGTCGGATTGAACTTCTCCCCTAAAAACCCTTTTAATCGTGCCATCGCTGATGGGCCCTCGCTCTGATTTTCTGATACAGAATCCACTCATTGCCCTCCCTGAAAGTCCTCTGTGCTTCCATCCTCAAATCGCGAAACAAATCCCCTTCATCTCTAGCACGGTCTCCGGCAAATTTCTTCGCTAAATTGTAGATAATACAGCTTGTGAATCCGCCGAGTAGGAGGCATGCTACTAGGATCAGGAAGTTGATGAAGAGCCCGCTGGCTGGAGGAATGGTGTCTTTACCGTGCAGGTGGTGCGGGTGTTCCATGCCATTTAGTGCGGATACAAAGAGGGGCGAGGTGAGGAGAGTGAGGACCTGGATGGTGGTGTGGGGTAACATTTTTGGGATTTTTTTTGGTGAGTTGATACAGGGTATGTTTATGTTTGTGGATTTGGACTGGAAAGAAGCTTCTCTGTATATTGTCTTAGTCTGTCTTGTTCTTTCTTTATCGGGTTTGCTCTTTGGGATTGACGGTTCTTGAAGTTTCTAGATGATCCAGTGTAGAGGTTTAGAAGGAGAAGGAAAGAGTGTTGGAGTATATTTTTATTCAGATATCTCCAGCCTTGCGTTTTGTAGCTCGCGGGTTCATGATTCACATTTATACTTCGATCGAATATTCACATCACCGTAACGTATTCACAAAAAGGTGCGAATAAGGAGAGGAACACGCACCCTTTCTTAAACAGTGACTCAAACCTCACAACAGTGATGTCATGCAAGATGGGATGGACCGTATGTCTAGAGTAGCTCTATATAATTCTTGCAATGCCAGAGCTTATCCACGCAGGCAAGATAATCCAATCAGTAGGATTCCAATGTGTAACTCCAAATAGAGCCAACATAGCCCACAGACCACTCCGCAAAAATAGACTTGTGAAGCTAGGCTAGGACGTGGCAAGGCAAAAGACATCCGCTCCATGTTGAACATCCACCTGGAGTGGCGGGCACCAACGTGTGAGCTGGGGTTAGTTTTGAATTTACTTCGTTTAAAGTGCATGCCCTCGCCTAAAGTACTGCTTTTGGGGAGAAGTGGATTTACATCATAAACTTTAGTTCAAGCTTATTTCTACCATGTAGACCTCCCGCCATGTGGCGGGGATGGGGAAGTTTTTATTTCACTTTAAACCCCGAATAGAAGATTAAGCATTTTGGAGTGATTGTGCTCGTTGAGTCGCATTCTCGCAGGCCGACTGTCATAGTAAGACCCTGGAGAATAGTGTATCGAAAATTTTGGTGGATCGGAAAACACGTGCGACGTGTTGTCATCGTTCTACTCGTATTCGAAAGTTGTTAACCAACTAGAGTAGTTCTTTGCCAGATAGTCAAAGTGGGCCTTCTCGTAGTTATCATTTCGTCGTACTCAAGTCTTCGAAAACAGTCGATGTTGGTAGAGGAATACCTTGAAAGTGACTTTACTTGAATCATTCGGGGATGGTAAAGCAAGATTTTGAGTCTTTACCGAACGAGAAAAAGATACAAACCAACACTTCATCACATAGGAAATTCTGGATGCCTTGGTGTTGGAGTTATCGTGCAAGCAGCGTTTACTTTGTGGGGTTTACCACTCGTATGTTTTCCACGCCCAGGAGTTCCATATATACACTTCGCTCTCGAAATCTCCATCTCTTTGCGATAAATACTCCACATCAATTTATTGCATCCCCTTGATCTTCTTGAACTTCGGGCAAGATTGTTCTCTTAATCAGATTTAACCTGCAATCCCTCGATTCCTGGGGTAACTGTAGCAGAAAATTTCACTACAGTGTTCATTACAAGGACTCAAGCTTCTGTTACCGAGTTTGGTTACTGGTAAAAACGTGGTTTGTGTTGATGTCAGAACCGATGCCCGGTATTACTTGGTTTATTCCCTTCAATACACTCAGATTATAAGCTGGGATCTTGATTGTATCTGATATGAATCTGTAGAAGTGATTTTATTGATTATTTGGTAGTTACAGTCGCACATGGGCTCTAGGTCAAACAAGTTGAAATTTTCCAATCTGCTACATGAAAGGTACCACGAAAGCCGAAAAACCGGCCTTTTCTATCATATTTGCAAAATGAAGGATGAGGAAGAGGATAGAGAGAGTAACCTGAGCGTAATACTGTTACATCGTTGTTGACAAAACCTGCAGTCACCGTCACGTCCTCCAAAGGAAAACTCAAATAAAAACTCGTCGTCAGACATAAAGTGTTGAGGCTGGTAATGGTGGAGAACGTGCGGACTTGAAACTTCCCCATTTTTCTTGTTTATCACTTCACTTACCCTTCTTTTAGCACAAGTTGGCCACCGGCTGGTATTATCCATAGTGGCAACTGTTGAACAATTAACAGCCATACATAACCAAGAATTGGGGAATGGGTATTGTAAAAGCTGTGTAGTGGGTGTTAACGAGCCCCTTGCCCCTCGCAGCTGTTCGCTTAACCTTAAACTTCCCAGCACCAGCCAGTTCAGGGCTGAGGCTGAAACCAACCTTTCCCCACAGCACCCTCTAACTTTAGATCAACATGGGAGGATAACCAGCCACAGTGATCCGAATAAACCATGTCAGTCACGTAATGGCTCTCAATTGGCAAGAATTGGATTCGCGGGCTCGGCAGAACCCCGCATGATATGACCGCTAAGCCTTTTTCCAACGGATGGCCCGTGTTGACGTGTGGGGGTTTTCTCCGAGCGGCGAGCCTCAGTATGCTTTTCTCTCGAGTCCCTCGACGGTCCTGTATTTCGACCCCTCTCTTTTACACGGAACACCCGAGAAAAACTCCTGAGATGATCCGGTACTTCGCCTCTGATACCGGGAAATCTAGAGATCATTCCCCATGTTAACGGGCATTCATTCTAGGACGGTGGGGACTCTTGACCCACGTGCTTCGAGGCTGGGGTTCATACATGTTGCCTACCTGGTATTGTATCGGATAATGACGAGCTGGTGAAGATGTATATAACGAGAGCTTGATTTCTCAATTTTTTCTTTTTTCTTCATCAGCATCAGCATCATCTTGATCTTGCATTTTTCTTTTCCTCTTCTTCGCTCAATTTCATTATCTTTTCCTCTCTTCTCTTTCCCTTTTCGACACTTCCTCAATATCTTCTCAAACTTCACCTTTTCCACCTTCAATCACCAACCTACCCAGCTTACTCGCCATCATGCACTCCAAGAACATCGCCCTCGTTTTTGCCCTCACCCTCTCCACTCTCACCGAAGCAAGCCCTGTGGCACCAAATGCCAGATTTGCTCTCAAAGAAAGAGACCAAGAATCGACCAAAGCCATTGTCGCCAGAGAGCCTTTCAAGTTTGGTAAAATCCTCAAAGGTGCCGGCTCACTCCTAGGTTTTGCGGGTTTTGCTCTTCCGTTTCTCTCGCAATCTGTGCCTACCATCGAGGTTCCAAGCAATGTCACTGTCCCATGCAACATGACTGCCTCAAGCAATGTCACCGCATCACATTTCAGAAAGCACGGGGGCCATGGAAAGAAGAACCATACCAGACCTTTCACAAAGCCATTCCGTCCGGGCCACAAAAAGCACAACGATACCACGCTGAGCCCCATCAAAATTTACCATCCTTCACTTGCTGTCAGAGAACCCAAATTCAAGTTTGGAAAGATCGCTAAAGGTGCCGGTGCACTTCTTGGTCTCAGTGCTCTCTTACCATTTTTGTCAGGGAATATGGGAGCCCAATCTCTTGATGGTGATGCTTCACCATCCAACTCAACCGCTGCCATTAACGGTACACGCACACACAACCACCGCAGAAGTGACGAGAGCAATCTCATGCTCGCTGCTTTCCGCGATGACATTATCATTGCTGATCCAATTGTTATGATGTCACCTTCCGTCGGAAGCTCTGTCAGCATTAAACTCGATTGCGGAGATATTCTTGTAACTCTTCTCCAACAGCAAGCTTTTACTTGCAGCTTCGGGTTGCCAGCCGATATGCCAGCGGGAACTTTGACTGGTCAGAACCCAGGAAAGGCCGTGTCTTTCGAGGTTCCTGGTGCCTGCAAGGGTACCGATTTTGGAGTTGTGAACACCTGCAAGGATTGTGCTGCACCGGCGATTGTTGACTGCCATGGAACAGTTGGTGCTTCGGCGAACCAGGTCGAGCTTTGTGTCAATGGATCAGATTTGGCCGAATGCTAAATGATGATCGATGTTGGCCAAATAACTGGTGTTTTTTGGTTTTATGGAGGAGAATACCTGCTGGACTCTTGATGGGATTAAGGAACGAGGATGGCTCTTGGTAGCTTGTCGAAATACCGGTCTTCTTGAGGTAGATTTAGGATAGCTGCAGCGCGGTTTTTTTTGTTTTTGATTTTCTTGTTTGTGCCCAGCGGGCTTTGTGCTTTGATGATGATACCTTGATGGGGGGGTTATGGGATGGATCTGGTGGATCTGAGATGAAGATGGATAGACAAAATAGACAGGGCGTTGTACTTTTACCCTTTTCACTGAACATATCAATCATGAAAATAGATTCTCTTCTATTGCAAAGTGCCTCTTAATTCCAACTCTCTCTTCACCGTGTGTGAACATCCATAAGCACTGTTTTCTCCTCCTAGACCTGTATGATCCCAAAACGTTCAACTGCTTCTTTGAAAACAAAATTTCTTACCCAACAGCTGAAAAGATTTCGAATTATGATAGCCTATAGGTTGGTGTGGGTGTACTCCATCTTATTGCCGTTCATGCCAGTACCATATCCTCGCTTAAATTCGCTTCCCACAATCGCTGTAATTTAAGTTAGCGCATGATGAAATAAGCTTTTATTTACCCGATATGCTTAAATGCTGATGCAGCTGAACAACCACTCCCCCATGCTGTAGTGAGGAAACTTCAGAGATGGGAATGGTTCTGAGTGAGCTGATAACCACGCGGGCTTGGCCTTGAATTGCTGACTACACATCAAGGTTACATTGATTACCGAAGTCTCAACAACAACGTATATATATAAGAGATTATGGTGAAGAGTTGGAGAGTTGCCTTCATAATTCAATTCAAACACTTCATCACACCAAACCTTTAGTGTCGAAAGCGAAGTTATCGGGCAACTTTCACCATTTACCAACTTACCACATCTGTATATTTTGTTAAAAAAGAAATTATCACAGTCGCAAACCTTTTCGCCATGGCAACCATTATTGAGCCTATGAAAGTCAAAGCAGATGGCAGTCTTGACATCACAGAGGGCTTCAAATATACCGAGAAAAAAGTATGCCGGCCAATACCCGATGATATCACATTTCCTCTTTTATTTCAATAACTCATTTAACCACGTAATGGCTTTCTCATTCACTTCATTACAGCTCCTCGACCACTTGAAGAGAATCAAAGCAAACCCTGCTGCCTTTGCCGTGGACGATGAATATATCAATCCGTCCGAAGGAAATAGTATCACAGATGCGATTGATGAACTTCTTGCCCTCGCGTGAGTAATCTTGCCTTTTCTCGTTTCTCATTTCAATATGGTTCATGAATGTTAAGAATTGTGATGTAGGGATAAGAAGCGTATCTTTACATTGAGTTTTGGAACTCTTGAAGACGCTCCAGAGGAGCGGGATGATGACCAACCTGAGGCGGCTGATCAACCTGGTGAACCTGATGCTGCCGATGAACCTGATGATGCTGATGAATCTGGCACTGCTAATGAACCTGGTGCTGCTGATGAACCTGATGCTACTGATGAACCTGATGCTGCTGATGAACCTGATGCTGCTGATGAACCTGATGCTGCTGATGAACCTGATGCTGACGAAGATACCGTTGAGGTAGACGAAGACGATGAAGAACAGGCGGGAGACGGGGAGGAAGAGGAGTTGGTTGATGGAGATGATGAAGAAGATGATGATGTTGAAGCAGGCGCCGGAGCAGAACAAGACGACGAAGAGGACGAAAACGATGAAACAAACAAGGTCCTCGTCGACAATGCCTACGGCTTCGATGGTGTTTTGTTGCCCATAACCACCATCTACGACCTCTTGGGTTACGTAATGTCGATTTCTTCCAAGAATTTCCCAGCAACCGACTCCTCCACCGCACGAAACTACTACTTGCGCCTGATATCCCTCTATGCTAGATGGTGCCGAGTTCTCAGTCCAAACAAAGTCTACTTGAATGGTAACAGAATGGTCCATCTAACCTGGTTCAAGAACACCGAACCTTACCGCATCCTTCTCGGATGTACCATTGGACAAACGGACCTCGGAGTTGCCACCAAAACGGGCGTGAAAAATGAAGAAACTAAGGAAATCCGCTTGGAGGATTCCACCAAAACGGAGTCGAGGGACATTGCTAAAGAGATAGTCATCAAGAATGATCGTCAAAACTTTTTGATCGAAGCGGGATTTGAGGCGCCGAAAGAGGGTGGGGAAATTGTGAAGAACTTTGGCAGTTGTGCCGAGTCCTTTTTCTACATTTATCAGGGTAGACAGACGTAAGTTATCCAGTTGATGCATGAGTTTCTGAAATCAAAACAGCTAACGAGTGAAATGTATAGACCTCGTGTTGATATGTCTGAAGTCAAAGGTTTAGCAATGTTTCCAAATATACTTCACGGGACAAGCGACAAAAAGTATGTGGAAGAGACAGCAGCACTCAAGGCTCTGCAACCACCCTGTACAACATCTTGCCGATTACTCGTGGCTCAGATGGGCGCCGACTGGAAGGATTGTTTTAGTGTAACGGCCTTGAAGACTGAGTGCAGGCAAACTTGGTCCGTATTTCAATTTCTACCAAGATTAAAGACTGACTGTTTGCCCTAGATAAGCCCGAATGTTGTAAACAGTTTGTGGAGTTGTGAACCGAGGTATTCTTTCGGTTTTTGTAAAAGGCAGAATATGGAATGAAAAGTGGCTGGTTTCAGTGTAAGAGGAGAGTGGTATTGTTCTAGAACTTAAACATACATCTCGTCATTAGTTGCTTGCAGGTCAGATAGATGTAGTACGATTATCCTGATAACTTAAATGAAGCCGCAACACTTATTTTACTCATTTTAAACAAACAATTTAATTCAGCTACTTACGTATAAGAGTCAAGGAATTTATAAGCAGCGATCAAAAGAAACTAATTAACCATATGATTAAAGTACTTGAGTTATAGTTGCCATCTGGAAGGAAGAACTACAAAGGGTTCATTAACTATCGTTTTCCTTGCCCCTTAAATAGAAAAGAAAATCAAGTATTATTTAAAAGTAGTTAGAGTCTACCTTTGTTCTCGTTATTTTAACTTATTTATCTAAAGCTCGATAAAACCTAGCTATATAACAAACTAAACTAATACTACGTTCTTTCCTTCCTAGTAAGTAAGAATAAGTAGTAATCTTTTGTTTCCTTTAGCGAAAATTATTTCAAAGTATTAAAATATCTTAAATATACTAGAGTAATTTCTAAACTATTATAGAAGTATCTAATCTCGCTATAAATAGTCGATCTTTGATTTTCCGCGGTAGCTTATAAGATATAACCTGAAAAGACTCTCGCGACTCTAGGAAAGTAGACTAAGGATTAGTAACTATCGATTTAATTAACCTAAATAACTAGAAAAATATAATATTTCAGAGAAAGTTACGTAAATAGAAAACAGATTTTCTATAACTTCTCTTGTTTACTAGGAGTTTAACAAACTACTTCTTCATACTATGTAACGTCCAGTGGCGAAGTTACGCAAGCAAGTCCTTGTCATCCCTACAGCTGAGTTACAAAAAACGTGACATCCCAAAACAGACTTACCTCAAATCTCCCAACCCATTTCCAAAAATCCTCATTAAGGGTACGTTCAAACCAAACATCTTCTCCCTCCTCCCTCCTTCTTTCCCCCTTCTCCCTTCCCTCCTTCAACCCCCTTCCCAAACATAATCCCGTGACAAGCACCCCTGCACATCCCAACTCCCATTTAGGAATCTGTTGCACATCGCAAAGAAGAATAAACGGGAATCCGGAAACCCGCCGCATTTCAACATTCGGAATTTGGGGAATCTGATCTCGGGGGGAACGGCATTATTATTGACGGGGGGAGGGTGTCACGAATCATGTGAACGCACGTGATAAGTGAAGACCAGGCGACGCCCTGACAGGTTGAGCACTATCATAACTCTTATAGCAAAATAGGGATCGACTAGGCTAGCTAGACGATCCAAGGATTTCCTTTGGTTACTAAGTCACGTGATATAGATCATTTGCGTCTGAATGATCCACGATCCAGGAGTGTGGATCTGGCGATCTAGTCGCACTCCTGTGGAGAACGAAGATTCTATATAAGACTGGCACGTCTGCCATTAGATAGGAGCTTCGTGCTCAACTTAGTTTAGCAATCTAGTTATTAAGTTATTACTTCTTTGTTAACAAGTGACGAGTTTACCTCCGAGTAAACAACCCGGCGCATCTGTACTTCTCACCCGCATACCAACCGTCGAAACGATTACCTTTGTCAGATAGTTTGAGTTTCGTCACAGGGCGGCGGGTAGATAGATGATGGCGCGTTTTGTTTAGGCTCTGTTCAGCTAGAATATCGCCAAGAAATATCGTTAAAACTACGCCTAATCGAGATAATATTTAGCCTCTAAATCGTATAGGTTAGGAGTCGAGTATCTACTCTATTTAAAGGCGAAATATTATTAAATATTATCTAAAATAGGTATAGTATTAGCCTATCCTTATACTAAGTTTTTACTACTTCTTTCCCCGCCTTTTATTATATTATTAATTTTAGTATAATTCTAGTAGTTTAAAGAAAAGAGTTAGAATAATCGAATAAACGGCTAGCGAATAAACTAAGTTGTTTTATTATTAGATTATAAATATATCTATATTTAATTAGGTTATTATTAGATTTTTTTAAGTAGTAAAAAAACCGGTATATAGATATTATTAGTATAAAAACCTATAAAATATACCTGTTTTTCTATAAGATATTAGAAAGTTAACTTACGATTATTTCTTTTTTATTTTTATCTAAAATACTACTAAAACGAAGTTAACGAACTACTTTACTAAAGAGTATAGTTAAATCGATTATAAACTCGATTTCTAGTACTTTAATAATATTAATTAATAATATATTATCTACTTTACTAGAACGTTTATATATACTAGATCTAAATAGTTAACTCTATCTTATAAATATTATATTATAAGCTTTAAGCTAGGGAGTTATTTTTAGTACTAATATAGAAGTTATTAGAGAATATATACTACTAGTGTCACGAATCACGTGTAAGCATGTGACAAGTGAAGACCAGGCGGCGCGCTGACAGGTTAAGCACTATCATATCTCTTATAGCAAATAGGGATGCTTAGGCTAGCCAAGCGATCCAAGGATTTCTTAGCATAGGAAGGATCACGTGACCACGATCGCCCGGATCGCCCAAGTCGCGAGCGACGAAAGCGATGTGTGCGATCCAACAAGAGAACGAAGGAAAGATCACGTGACCGTGATCGCCCAGATCGCCCAAGTCGCGAGCGACGAAAGCGATGTGTGCGATCCAACAGAGAACGAAGGTTCTATATAAGACTGGCACGTCTGCCATTAGATAGGAGCTTCGTGCTCAACTTAGTTATCAATCTTATCATATTAGTTTGACATCTTTGATACAAGTAACGAGTTCACTTCCAAGTGAACAACCCGATAGTCTTCTTCTTATCATAGCATACCAACCAGCGAACACCCAGCCAAGTTTAGTTAGCCAGTTTGAGTATTCGTTACAATATATTCCTAAGATATAAGGTTAGTACTAAAGTATTTAACTAGGTAGTAGATATAAGATAAGATAAGACTAGAGATAGTAATAATTATTTTACTAGCGTAGTTCTCTTTATTAGAATTTAGAAAATATATTTATATATTCGCTATATAAATTTATATAATAGCTTAACTAAAATAGTTTCTACTTACTTATTATACTTAAGAACCCTAATATTCCTAATAATCTTCTTATATTTAAGCTATAATTATTATTCTTAGCTTATTTATCTTCTTATATATACTACTCCTACTACTACTTATACGCTCTATTATACCTATTATTCTTTCCTTCTTATTTCTTTAATCTATCTCTTTTATATCTCTATTACTATTATTAAATATATATTTAAACTCTCCTAGAATAGAATAAAGTTATATAAGGTATTGTTGATACGACTGTACAGGTTTGTTCTCTCTCTCTCTCTCTCAAAGTGTGACACAAAGTAAGCGCGCTGATTCTCGATTGTATTCTGTGTGTTCCTCCTATCTACAATTGCTTCGGACGATGGGTAAAAGAGTGTGGGTGTCTGATACGAAACACGTATCAGATGCGTGGGGAAAAACGTGACATAGGAAAACGTGACCTGCACCGCTGAAAACCCGAATGCCAGCATTCCAACAATTCTAGTATTCCCAACACTGGCAATCTTTTCTTTTCTTAATCCCGTGAACAGGATAGACAAGGTAAAAGGAATACTAGTCGCTCCTTCCTCCAAAAGAGTGTGATGTCTTCGTACGAAATCAAAAGCTTGGCGTTTGGTTCCTTCCCGCGAAGTTCGTACAAAGCGTT